GCTTGTCTAATTGCCTTTTTTTTTTTTTTTTTTTTAGTATGCTTATTCCCTCTCTGACTTTTCTCTCCATACTTAGACTGGAACCTTAATCCCTTAGTTAACTGGTATGAATTGATAATGTGTATGTTGCAGACCCTGAGTTGGACTTTTAATGGATGCCTTTAGCTCTGCTAGCAAAGTTTGATTTGGTTCCAAGTTTTTGGTTCAAGGTTCATTTTTGGTTGTCCTTTATTTGGCTTAGTTTTGTCTCTGCTGTCACTAATTTCTGGGATGTTGGGCAAGTTACTATCTTTATTGAGATAAGATATAGCTAAGTATAGCTAGAGCTAAGTATAGATGATTAATCAACCTGAAAACTTCTCCTATTAGCCCTAACTAAAAGGTATAGTACCAACCCACCCCCACCCCCACAACCGCCCCCCAAAAAACAACTTGGCGTACGTTTTAGCAGAACTAGGGTTTTAGCTCTGCCACTGTATAAGTCTCGATAAGATACTTTACTTTTCTGGGTTGCAGTCCATCAGTAAAAGAGACTAGATTCATCTTTAAAATAACCTAGCTTTCTTATAGCTCTGCCTACTTCTTTGTGTTTTTGTATTTGTGTTTTGTATCATCCTAAATCTCTTTCAAGATCCCTTTCTCATGGGATTAGAATTAATTGTTCCTAAGAATAATTTTTGATGAAAACTAAATATCAAAGTTTGTATAGTGCTCTACTATTTACTAGATGCTTTCTGACATCATTGTCTGGACCTTCATCTCAGCTCTGAAATGGGCATTGACAGGTAGTTTGATTATTCCCATCTTATTGGTGGGAAAACTGCGGCCCAGAGGTTAATGGATCATACAAAGATAACCAGTATAAAGGTGGCAGAATTAGAAATCAAACCCATGTTTCTTTGAGTCTGAGGCCACATGCCACCTTCTTTAGTTTAAATCCATATATTGGTTTATTTATATTGTTTTTTTAGAAATAATTTTAGATTTTCAATTAAAGAGTACTAAAAGCTGCATTTTTAAATAATAAATGCTGCATTTTTTCCCTCTCTTCCCTATCCCCTAAGATAAAGCAGCTTTCAACTCTTTCTTCAGTATAGTATGCTTATACTGTTATTTCTGGATTCAATATTTTGGACATGCAATTACTTTTTATTAAGGAGTTAAGGATTTAGGGCTACACATTACCCCTCTCTCATCTTTTTAATAGAGACATATTATACATTTTTGGTTAAATCAATAGCATTTGCATTATGGTGATTATGTATGTATTATTTAAAGCTGAGCCATCTTGTACAGGTTTTTTTAAAAAAATTTTCTAATCAACGATTGCTTCATTTTGTTTATTTGTTTAGATTTCTATGTGCTTATTCCATTTTCCTCCCAAATACTTCAGAATCTGTCACATCTTATTAATATATTTTCCAAAAGCTCAAACAGTTCCAAGCACTCATTGCTATCATTTTCCTAGAAAACTCTCTCCCCAGTCCTCTGGTTGGACTGGTTGCCCTGTCGGTTTGGGCACAGCTATTTGTCATCCTAGATCTCTGTACAATTCTCTTATGTTAAGTCTCTTCTCCATTTATTCCATTCTCCAGTAGTTTCTTGAAAAAAGAAATAAATTTCTGTGAATGTTTATGTGTCTGAAAATTTCTTTGTCTTTATACTTGAATGATAGATTGGTTGGGTATAGAAGTCTAGATAGAAAATAATTTCTCTTATATCTCTACTTACTTTTAGCATCTAGGTTTGCTATTGAGAATTCTAATATGATTCTTTCTTCCAGCCTATTGCATTTGCCTTCTTTTTTTTCTCCATTTGTGAGTCATTTTTAACTCAATATTTTAGGCTGTAGTGGGTCCTTCATCTGGAGGCTAAGTTCATTTCTGAGAAATTTTATGTTGAAGAAATTGATACAAACCAATTTTGTCTGCTCCTAGGAATTGTGCATTAATGTACTATCACATTAATAAATGTACACATATTATAAATGCTTAATTTAAAATAGTCTATTTTGCATAATCATTGATGAATCTTCTAATTTTATTAGTTTTCCCCTCCTCGATAAGAAGGGAAACCTTTTTTTGTTTTTCATTCTCATTTCTAGGAGATTTCCTAGACTTTATTTTCCAAACTTTTTATTGCATTTTAATTTTGGCTACCTCCCCCCCCTTTTCTTTTTTCTAAATATCCTTTTGTTTTTTAAAGAGTAATCAGGTCTTGTTTTATGGTTGCAAAATCTTCCCTTATCACTTGACTGTATTTCCTCTAATTTCCTTTTCTCTGCTTTTGTTTCTATCTTTTATGTCTAATGAAACTTTACTGCTTGTATTTAAGAGGGGGTCATAAAAAAATGATTGAATGAGGCTTATTGACTGGCAGGTTGATCCAGAGGTGATGTGGAGGCTGGCTTGCCATTTGCTTAGGAGATTCCATGTGACAGTATCTTTTCTTCTTGGACTGTTCGATTTCTGCAGATAAGTATCCTTCAGTTTTCTGCCTGGGGTTATTCAGTTGGCTGTCGGTGTTCTGGAAACAGATAGGAAAAGATGGCAGGAAAATCTTACCATTAAATATACAGATTTTTGTTTCATCTCCCCATTTTCAGTTGTATACCTCCTTTCTTCCTTCTGTTATACCTGGTGCCCTAAGTCTGAAGCCTCTCTGATTCAATTTCTAAGAGATTAAACCTCTTGTAAGGGTAGTGTCTGGGGTACTCTTTAGCCACTTGGGGTGAAAAAGGGGGCTGTGGGTCCTTTTATTGACCTCAACCATTCTTGTTTTCATCCTAGAGCCTCACCTCTACCTTCCAAGGTATCTCTTGCCTCTGAGTCCTGAGGCTTTCCTGAAATCTTTAGGAGAAACAGACTTGTTTCTTATTGTTAGTCTTATTTCCCT